GCTGCAAGAAATAAAATACTTCATCGAGATTGAAGTAAACTACTTGAACAAAAGACTAATAAGCAACTCCGGGAACAAACCACTGAGTATTATTGATATAGTAACGTAATTTCTTAGGCCATTCGATTCTACTTGTAGCAAGATCGAAGACAACACAATCTGAAGCACGTTCCTCATGTTCTTGATGATCTGGCCAAACATCATCTTCAACGAAACAGATAATATCACTCTTGATTCCATCACCATAATCTTTAACCGGTGCATTTACTGTTATGCCATGACCAAAAATCAACATCTCGTTATCTCCAATGGACTCTACTGTTTCCCACTTGCAACTCTCAAGATTCATCTTGAATATGTAAAACATAAGTCTCTTTTCATATCTCACTTCTTGTAAGCTCAAGATGATGAGAACCTCTCCTGATTTCTTAATAGGTATTTTCCTCCTCCAAACGTATTCCCACGTTGCTCGTCGAAGTGAAAAGGACGATTCCAATACAGGGTTTCGGTTATTTCTTCTATAGGGAAATCAAAGGAGTTGAAATCTTGATGTGTTGATCAGTTGTGAGCACATACAGCTTACTGTTCTTATAAGCCATGTCCAAAAAACCGGAATCTGCGCCTCGAGGTTTCAAATTCGACCACGAATCGTATCCTCTCCTGTATGAGAACAAGTAATGCTGTCTAAAAATCCAAGCAACCAGATAATCCCCTGTTGTCTCGTTTATCCACAGAACAGCCGAGTTCTTCCACTCGAGGACGTCTCTCGACACATTATCCGTACGAGAAGGCCCAACAAAGCGTCCATATCCCCAATCAAACGTCCCACCGCTTCCTCTTTCGAATCTCACTTGTCKACCACGAATCGACGAATCCATCGAAGGAAGATTGATTCTTTTGCGTGTCACGAGGTTCAAAAGATAGAAATCGAGGCTAAAATTAATCATTAGAAGCCAATTCCCGGAGCTAGCCATACAATAGCTCCTATCTAAATCTTGTCCGAAAAGTTTTCTAGCGTAAATATTGTCTTCTTCGGGATTGAACAACCTCGAAGAATCACCTTGGTGTATGATCCGTAATGGACACGGAGGCCGATTAAGACATGTTTTCCAACCGGAATACCAATCTAAACAAACAAATTTTGCTTGGTGATGATCAATAGGGCTCAAGGTTTCGAAGATCTTTCGCAAAACTTCGGGACGAAGCTTGGACCAATTGCTAGATCTCTCCGTCTCCATGTCTGCGATTACCTGCCGAACACGCTAATGAAACTAGGGTTTGGTTTTGATTAATTTCAAGCAATTACAACTGACATATAAGAGAGACAATTTGTTAACAATATAAAAACAAACGAGCAGAAGCAAACCTATAATATATAAGAAATAATGGTAAGAAGAAAGAGATTACCTATGGTACTGTCTAAAGAACAAGATTAGAAGAGAGCGATGATGGCAATGTTTTATGCTCACGTCGTATTTATAAAAAAAAAAGACCGCGAAATAGTGGTCGAGACAAACTCTTGTTATACTTCTCAATTCATTTATCTTCGGAAGATGAGGATATATGGAAATCATTTTATTAATTGAAAAATATAAGAATGAAATTGAAGCGCATATTATGTTTCACATGA